TTTTCRWASGTGAGAAAATCGCGCAAAGGTTCTCGGGATCACGTCGGCCGTTAATGACACATTGATTTTGTTTTTCTGGTTTTATGTCTTCATATTTGTGACTTTCTGGTTATGAAAAACAACTTTGTTTGGAAACAAACGCTGTAGTACCTAGGCGGCGCTCGTCCTGTCAAGTCCAATAGGGGTATGGGYAGAGTCTCTGTAAGTACAGGGCGTGAGGTTGCAAGGGTGAACATTCCTCTGCAATAAAAAAAAGCTTATCAATAACAAGAATAAATGCATGAATTAAAAGGACGAAGACTAACAAAGCTAAGACAAGTATTCCACTATTGTTTAGGATTACCTTCCAACAGGWAGAGCCATAGTTCGTTTGCACATCAGCAAAAGCTTTGTTTCTTGTTCTTGAATAAATTCATGGTCACTAGAAAACCATAAACAACAACTCCGTCTCACTGCAAACTATTTAAACAAACCAATGGGGCATAAATCTACAGCATCAGGGGTATCATCAAGCATCTCTAACATTGCTGGGCGGCAAACATTGTAGCATTGTTAAACAAATTCTTGATTGGTAAAAGAGGTTCGAGTATCAATACAAATCAAGCAATAATTAGAAAATGTTGAATGGCGTTTGATGGAATGTGTGACCTACTTCAGGTTAGTAACGACGAATAGATTTTATCTCAGTGATCTCTGATCCCAGGGCTAAAAGTCTGATACTTGATGATCCCAAAATATCAACAATTTTGATCTCTGGGGCTTGCGCATCTTTGAATATTTTTTTTGATACCGATTTTTAGACATGGATGCTGATTACAAATTTTAAACTCTGATCTTGAAGCCCTGAAAATTTAACTAACACACAAATGCGATCCCTGAGCCCCAAAATAATGCTAATCACTGATCCCATGAACCCTGTTTCGATGTATTTGAACCTCCACTGAACATCTTTCAACACCATCAAACAAGATGACTGACTAGTAAATTGTTGTGTCATTCATCAGTGTTTGATGATGTGCGGCAATCCAATATTTCTCATACCTGACTTCTGGTTTTTGAACCAGGCTCACTCKGACAGGTTTGGCAGACTGGAGCAGTCTCCTGACTTCTTGGATACGCAAATCTTTACCAAACCGTARTCTCATGATCTAATAGAGATGAAAAGTGTCTCATGTTCTCTGATTGGCTGCTGCATATGATTGACAAGTCACGTAGTAGTCATTTTCATAAATACCTCTTCATTAAATTCCATCCCATTATCTTTTTCACCTTCTTTTAAAACAAGCTTCTGGAAATAATTATAGGAAATAGGTGTTGCCATGGTTATAATCGGCAAACTCCATGGTAACAAAAGAAGTTTCATGTTCACATGAACAACAATGGCCCCTATGGTTACATCACTAAGAAGATAAATGTTCCAAAAGCGGCAGAAATACAAATACACTGCTGAAACAAGTGCTTGGCAATTTGGGAATGGATAAGCAAACCTTTGTAAATAAATCAATGGATCGTGAAGTTTGAATCGGCAATATGCCACCCAGAACACTCCGTCTGAGTGATGGGTTAAAATCTATTATTATTATTACTATAAGTCTTATTGTCATAAATATGATGACATAAGAAGTTGTTGGTTACACAGTATGCAGTTGTTTTGTCACAACTACACTTGCATGTTTGTTGTCATGGTTACAAATTTCATCTATTCCTTACATTGAGAGGACCCTGATGAGGAAGCATGTCATGTGATTTATCGCTGACCAAAGAAGCCAGGTCTTCTCTTCCTGAAGAAAGATGACAACCTAATATTAATCAAGATGTCTAACACAGTAGAACCATTTCCAAGCATCTATGGCAGCAATGTGATACTATGCTTACCTATTAATGAGTAGGCCTGTTGTGATAAGCTGAATGGTGGATTTTGACTGCATATATGAATGGCTTCTCTTAGGGGTAGACTCACACCAAATGGCAAACCATCCAAGTCTTTAGTGGTGAAACCTGTTGTCAAATACAAATCAGAAAAATTTTATCTTAGGGGCAGATTCAGCTGGTGGGTGCAGGGGGTGCGCACCCCCTCTTGAGATCTGTATCCTTCAATACTTTCCTTAGGTTGTATCTTCATGGTATAGTAATGATTTTTGTGGGGTGCACCCCTCCCTGAGGAAAATCCTGGATCCGCCCCTGTATCTCTCTGTTGAACAATGATCTTTTAATTTTTTTTTCTTTTTTTCTCTTACATTAGCTGAGCAGTGATTCCTGCCTTCCATAAGTTTTATAATTAAGGGACCCAGAATTCATCAAAAAATGGAAAAAAATGTCTACAAAAGGAGGCTATGAGCTACATACCATTTTCAGCCAGAAACACAACTACTTTTTCTGCTGTGGTTTGACACCTGATGTGATAAAAACATGATTGGTTAGTTGTTTGGCTGCAGATAGTTATTTAGCACCTTTAATACTTAAATATTGATTGATTTACTAGATAGTCAGTAGAGCAAACGCAAGAAAACCATGAAATAAAATCAAACTAAATACTAACTAACAGCGGCTATTTAGAGTCAGTTTGTCAGTATTAATGAACCAGAACACAATGAAGATGAATCCACATGGGACCATTTTTCATTCATSTYTATTGCGTTCTGGTTCATTGATACTGACAATTTGTCTCTAAATAGTCGCTATTTGTTAGTATTTACTTTGATTTTATTTCATGGTTTTCCTGCGTTTGCTCTAACAACTTACTCAATTAACTTAGCATTTATTTTAGCACTAATCTTTTCAGCATCTGAAAAACAATAACAAAACATTATTATTTTTATGTTTCACTAAATGTTCATTTTTAAATTGCTATTATTACCACTTGMAGATATTTTAGAGTAAAGCTTTCCAGGATCATCAACAAAGGTGCCATCTTTATTGGGAATGAACAGTGAATATGCCTGTGTAATGAATCACAAAAAAGAATATGAAAAAGAATAAAAAAAAAACAGAACAAAAACATAGAGTTACATGTATGTATGCTACCATAAATGTTGCTGGGTTTAATATAATCACTATAATTTCTCTCATACCTTTGCTATYAAATACGATTTTTTGCAAACCATTTGCAAAACTGGATATGGTGACCTCTGAATAAAATAGTGATAAAACCATCATCATTAAACAATGAGTAAAAAGCACAAATGAAAATATTTTGTCATATTTTTCATTTTCAGTACCATTTTTCCTTCCAGGCATAAATGAAGCCATTGGTGGATATTTGGAGGACTGTTAGAAATAAATTCCTGAAGCTTTAAGGATTTTAACTGATCTAAGGACAGAGGAGGAAATAATATTAACATGTACGTTTTCATGAATAATTAATGAATATCAATGCAGCTCTTTGTTTAATAAGTTTGAGAACGAGGTATCAGTAAAWTTAATTTTYGTAGCACTGCAGATCCTGTCAGTAATGTCACATTCCTTGCAACGTGGCTGCTGTAGATCAACAGAGTTTGGAGRCMAWCTTTCCAACCGCAAATTTGATGAAATCCTTAAACTMTGSTTATYTACAGTGGCTCTGTCAAAATAATATGTGGTATATACATTGGAGATGATTGTATATTGACCTGTGATTTGAGTAGATGATTCAGATAGAGAAAGAGAGGCTAATGAAGGCTGATCATGGTAGTAGAGTTCAGTATATGGAAACCATCCAAGATCCCTGGTGAAGACAGTCACATTGATTGAATCAATCAAACTATCAGTCATTGAACCTTCAATCAAGTCATTCAATCAATTAACCAGTCTATCAATCAATCAATCCATCATTAAATCAATCAATCAATCAGTCAGTCAGCCAATCAATCATTAAATCAATCATTAAATCAATCATTAAATCAAGCAATCAATCGATCAATCGTTATCATTTACTCTAATGAAGGAATAAAGACTGAAATGTCAGTAATTTATTTGCCATCCTTTTTAAAGTGTATTTTTTATTTTATTTTACAACCTGTTTCCTTGAAAATACTGACACAGCTTACACTAGTTTACTGTCTGTCCCCATCAATCATCACTCAGTCCAGTCATTCACCCAACTGACCAACAGACAAACCATCCAACCTGCCATCCAAACAATCTCAACTAAGAAAATCAATCTATTTCTAACCTTGATATAGCACAAAGAAACTCTCCAAGRATATTCAAGTCATTTCTTGCCAGAACATCAAGTTTTAACTCCTAAAAAGGCAAGAGGTGSCACAATAAAATTCACATGACAAACTTGATGATAAGAGAAATTAAGAGGGAAGTGATAATCATAGCGAATACAATAACAAAAGAAATTATATCAAGAAATTAAGAGTATCAAAAATAGAAAAAAAAAGAAGAGAATGGAATTGCAAAACAAAAGAAACAAGAAAAGGAAGGAATTTACAGATAAAAACTAGAGAAAAAAGACAGCAAAGAGGAAGTCATTATAAGAAATATATAAATGGGAATAAAATAAAGAAAACATAAGGTGAAAAGCAAAAAAAAAAAGAACAGAACAGAACAAAAGAGAAGAAAGAGGAACAGAACAAAAGACAAGGAAAAAAGGTTACACAATAGCATTAATAAGAAAATGACACTTAAACACCAAAGCAGAGAAATAAAAATTACCTCATACACTAAATGAAGTGCAAAAACAACTGTAGGAACATGGTTGAATAAAGTAAAATAAAAAAAGAACAGAACWAAAGAGAAGGAAAGAATAGCATTTAATAAGAAGATGCCACTTAAGCACCAAAGCAGAGAAATAAAAATTACCTCATAYACTAAATGAAGTGCAAAAACAACTGTAGGAACATGGTTGAATAAAGTAGCTGCAGTATTTAGCTTATTTTGTTTTGGTGATTCCTCATCTACCATTGACGTTTGTCTTGTGTTGGTATCAGGATAAAGACAAGTGCAGCTTGGTTGTACTGTGTTGTGATATGAGCTCTTGAGGAGTGACTCCCAAGCCTAAGACAAAATTTATTACAACAAGAATAAAAAACATTTTTCTTGCACACAAAATGGAGTTWATGTCATGCTGGCAAGCTCTTACACACTCCTCTATTTCCAGTACTAGGCTCRAACATCTAATGTATGGTCACTTTAGCTGCAMAGGGCTCCTMTGTYTCCTTACYTCTTAGCATRACTGACTTAGRGKGGGTGGGTWAAARGAACTAATTACAACACTTGTGTGACTAAGRACCCTTGGCCCAGGCTCCAGTGGTATGAGAGAAAATAATTCCCATCTCTCTGAATATTGTATCAAWWTTTTTATTTAGCCGYCTTTGCATCAATCACTCTTTGTTCAAAGGTTTCTTGTACATAAAATAATAAAGTCTTTAAAGCTGTCATTATAAAGTTCATGTTGGGAAGAGCATTATCAATGGTTGCTACATGTAGACCAATTTGTAATGCAGTGCCATTTGGCCTTGAGGTGTGTTTGTGCAACCTACAAACTTGCCTCAAGCTTTTGAATCTGGGGCCAAAATCCCATAACAAGCCATAGCTTGAGACAACAAGTCACATTGTGTAAATTGACCTATTTGCTAAGCTTTCTTAATATTTGTGAGAATAAAGAATCAAAATAAAAAAACTATGAATCGCATAAATACCTCATCCCCTTCCAGGCTGTTTTCTGATTTGAATTTTTTGGCTGCTGGAGAATCAGACTGCATCTGAGAGATAATCATAAGTAATGCTATCATATCGTCACGACTGGAACTGATTATCATTCATCCTGATTATTAAATTAATATAGTTTCCCATCACTTTGAAAGGTGGCTGCTGCACCTTCGTATCGAAGCAAGTGAATGATTTGAAATGATAAAATGATTGGTTGAGAAAACACTRGGCATGAAAACAAGAGATGRACTTGCAAAYAATAAAACAAAAACTAAAGTGTCTATGTTACCTATCAGAAGTTTACTATAAAGGGAGCAATTAAAAAGCAGGTACTGTCTTGAGTAAAGTTTTATTGAGTAATGTGCAGCCTCCTGGTTTTACAGGTCGAGTGCATTCTTTCACGTCTAGACATATACAATTATTTCACTTCCTGTAGGTACTAGTAGCAAGGTTACGGTGATGGAAAGGTAAAACTATATCTTTTCAAAATTTCATATTATGATACAAATAAGGTGATGATGATGATACTGATGATGACACTGATGGTGATGACAATCTTTACCTCTTCACTYGATTCACCAGTCACACCATTAGGATATCCCATCATGCTTTGCAAGCACCAAAGAAAACTCTCTACCTCCCCCATAGAAGGTTTTTGAGTAGCTTGATTAACCATAACATAGAAAGAAACAATCACTTTGGATGCCACTGGAGCTGGAAGCAGTCGCTTGAGTGCTTCAATGCATAATGATACTGTGAAGAGAATCATGTTTTGTTGTCAAATGAAAAGAAATTCTGCAATAAAAGTCTCCTTCAATCAAAGTTCCCTGCACCATCTTGAAAGGTAGCCGTGCCTTTGCATTGAAGTGAAACAACCATTGAGCGTGCAATGATAGAAACTTTCTTATTTACACCTATAGAAAATTATTCATAGGTATCTATCACTGCATGCTCGACAACAGTCTCCATGCTTTGATGCAAAGACACAGCTACCTTTCATGATGGCAGAGGAATCTGTGAAGGAGACAATTGAGTTGTAGACAGCCATTATTTGTGAATCATAATAATTTTTATGTTTTTTTTTTTGTTATCACATAAATAAAAAAATCCTTCGTACTATTGAGAGAGAAAGTAAAAATATTCTGAGATCAAAACTTTGATGTCAATTAAAGCTATTATGTTGTTTTGATGATGGTAAGATGCTTACTATCATGTTACATTGGTGGGAACTAGCGGTAAACTAGTGTGAGCTGCGTCGGTGCTTTAAAAGAAACAGTTGTGTAAAAAGATAAATTTAACACCGTAAAACTTGCTTTAGTAAGTTGTTTCACCTACTTTTTACGRTGTTAAATTTACGGGTATCATGTTACATCGGTTGCTTCTCATTTAAATCATTATGAACACTGAATTGTTTTAATTATTATATATTATTAAAAAATACAGTGAATGATCATGGTTAGTATACCTACCTGTAGTTTTATGACATATTTTAGGCATCTTAAGCTCATAAGAAGATCCCCCAGATAACGTCTGTAGATAAACAGGCCAGTAATCTTAGTGTACCAGGAAATAAAAGAAAAAAAAAGGAAAAAAATACTAAAAATAAAACCTACCAAATAGCATCCAAAAGGCTGAGGGTTGCTGAGTGATTGAATAAACTGTACACTGGGTTTCAAGGAGTTTTCTGAATAACAAAAGTTAAAAAGAGAATTTATTGACAAGGATCATAGACAAGAAACCCTAATGTAACAATGAAGAGACGACTTAAAGCTTGTAAATTCAAATCAAACAAAGACGCCAAACTGTTTTAACAGTGTTGACAGAATATCACACTGGTTGTTCATCATTCTTTCGTTACCTTCCATAGCAACATTAATAGTTGTAGGATTGACTTGAAAGCTTGGAAGAATAATTGTGCATGCCTAATAAGATATAAT